CGCGCTCATCGTGTTTTTCCACAAGTCTTGACTCGTCAGCATCCCACCACTGCAGGAATCCTATCCCGCCATCCTCTTCCTCCTCAGCCTCTCCTTCTGCTAAGTCTTGCTCTCGGCCTTCCGACGAAAAAGGAAAGCCCCCCCTCTGATGACGCCACCAGTGGCAGGCGGCAGAAAGGCCTCAGGGATGTGCCACCCCGCCTGTGGATCTGCTGTGACGTCCTTTGAGCATGAACGCTGAAATAAGGGCTCGGAATAGCACGGTGCAGGTTTCTTCTTTCTTTTTTCTTTCTTTCTTCTTTTCTTTTCTCTCTTTTTTCTTGTCTCTCGCCGCCCAGCTTATGATCTTTTCTTCTGGCCCTCTGAAGTTCGAAGCGTTAATTGGTTTCGAAATTTTGAAGTGTCAGTTTGATCTTTTTTGAAGAATGAGTTGCGTCAGTTTGATTTTTTTGAAGAATGAGTTGCGACCTTTATCTCCTCTATCCTTCTCTCTCTCTTTCCCCACAACCCCCCACTCCTTTAAAGCTTGGTGAATTGCGCAGTGTGAATGAACCATGTATCACGATCTGTGTATCCCCCCGCCTTGCGAATTCTCTCTGCCTCCCCTTTTTTTCTGGCTGGCAATAATGACTGCGCCTGTTGTCTTGTTCAACAATTAATAGTAGTCTAAATACCCCCCCCCCGATCCCCGCCCCTGTGGAATGTGCCAGTCATGTGATCACCCTTCTAGTTGCATGGGGCGTGACTGCTCCCGATTAGGAGTGTGTTCGTAAGGCTCGCAAGGGTATTACTTTGACCAAATCTTACCCTTTACACGAGCTTCGATAAGACATGAGGAATTTTGCGGTGATTGTTCCTTGTTTTTGAATCTGTTTTGCATGCCCCCGTGAGTCTTTTTTTCATACATCCCCACTCCCACCACACTTCTAAATCTTTCGCTCTCCCCCCGCCTCCTCTCCCGAACTACATCCCACCCGGATTGAGTAACTGTAGCGTAAAACCAGTTATGCGAGCACTCTTCCAGCTGCATGGGGCGTCATTGCACCCAATTAGGAGTGTATTCGTAAGACTCGCAAGGGTATTGCGTTGACTAAATCATTCCTTTTTTAGCATCGATAGGATGTAGGGACTTATGTTGTGATTTTTCCCTTTTTTCTGCTTTGCGTTTTTTAACCAATCTAGGCACCCATGAGCTTTTTTCGTGCATCCCACTACTTTTCTCACTCCCCCGCCCCCTCTCCCGAACTACATCCCATTCGGATTAAGTAACTATAACATAAAACCTGTTATGCGAGCACCCTTCTAGTTGCATGGGGCATAATTGCTCCCAATTAGGAGTGTGTTCGTAAGACTCGCAAGGGTAGCATCGATAGGAAGTAAGGAATTATGCTGTGATTTTTCCTTGTTTTTGAGTCTGCTTTGCATTTTTTACTAATCTAGGCACCCATGAGCTATTTTTCGTACATTCCCACTCCCACTTCCCTTCTCACTCTACCTCTCACGAGCTACCCCCCCGTCCAGATTAAGTGGCTATAACTTCAAACTGGCAGTGGTTACTCCTGAGATAATGTTTTTAATATCCGCGAGTCAGACATTGCATTGCGTACCACACGACTGTATTATGCCATACCCGCTAAAAAAACTCGGATGCAAGGTGCGCCGACGCTTCGCCGTCGGAGAAATGCCGGATACTGGTCCATCGTATCCTCGCATGCCATACATATGTCTAAACACACACACACACACACAAAGTGCAACTGGTAAAACAGCAGCGCCCGAATAGAACGCACATCCATTTTCTGTGTATCTAGACAAAAAGATGCGCCAAAAAATTACAGCCATAATGGCCGTGGCTTCTCTTCAATGAGCGTTTTTTTGGAAACACCAGCCAAGGGGCAAAACACAAAGATGACCTGGGGCGGTACGGGTAAAACGAAAATAAATAGGGCCCGGGAAAAGTTAGCAAGTACCAGGACATTTTGCAAAGATGGACGGTACCCGGTAGGGGTATTTTGCAAAGATGACGGGTCCAACCGATGCTGGCGGCATTTCGCAAAACATTTTTCGTGTCAGAGGGGTATTCCACTCTACCCATATTTTTTAGGGGCATTTTGGCATACATCTCAACTTATAGGGGTATTTCGCAAATTATCCCAGAAAGAAAAAAATATGGTTTTCTAATCTGGAGAAGAGGTTAATGTCATTCATTTACTCCGATTTACTGCCATTTATTTATTACTCGGAAATTTTGGAAATTCAGAATCGATGTCATCCATTTCTTTCCAAATGAATCTCAGGATTAGTTCATCTGTCTTTATCACAGAGAAACCTTTTTTTTTTTTTTTTTTTTTTTAAGCACCATTACCTTTGTCGGTTCGGAAAATAGTGGGTCTCTGACCTTTCAGGAGGCCGAAATGAAACGACGGCCGCCGATCAGATTTATCAACGGCAGCCGTTGTCGGGCCCGGCCTCCTAAAAGTTCGGGACTAGGCCAAAACTTGTAGCAACCGGACGACAAAGGTACTTGTGGTTTAACCCAGAGAATGACACCAATTGGCCTCGGACGGCTACATATGTAAATAGGAAAACATGCCCAGTACATACAAGGGCATATATGAAATTTGCAACCAAGGGACCAACAACCTCAAGTACCAGAGCATCTGGATTCTGGAAAAGTGGAACTACGAAAAAGTGGGGTCAAATGGTTTTCATGTTTCTTTTTTTTTTTTGTTTTTTTTTTTGTTTTTTTTTTTTTACGTGCTCCATCTATTGGTGGGGAGCAGCACCTGCTGGAAACCGGGTCCAGCGTCCCATAGATACAACCATATCCTCACAAATTGGCACGAGCTGGGAACCGGGCCCAGCGTCCCATGACGAGTACGTTCAGAAAAATCATCAGGAAGTTTCATGACAATGAGACTAGGGCTTCATGGATGTTCGGTCAGAAGGGCATTTGACGGGCATTTGACGGGCATATGACGACATCTGTGAGGGGCATTAGAGAAACAGCTTCCATTTCTTTTGTTCTCTAAATGGATCGTCCCGACCGCTAGTATATCCATAATCTAGTTCCGTCATTATCCGAACCGATGATATGTTGATTACGAGTTACAAGTTACAGTACATGGCGTTGTACATGCAGAGGGGCGCAGCACGCTCGGGAGCGTTGCGCCCTGTCCGGTACTGGAATCGCGGGAGCACGACCCAGCACGGCGTGGCGAGGTGAGCGCGAAGCGAAGCGCGAACAACGCGGCGCTAAGTAGCATGATGGGCGTAAAACGGCGATGGTGTGCGTTGGAGATTTCGTGGAGGCAAGATAGGAGGGGGATGGGCGATGGCAGGTTGTCGGTTGTAGTGGAGTGGAATGGGGATTATGTCGAGGAGAAGGTGGGTGGGGCGAGCGGGGGCTCGATGGTGGGGGATTTCCTATACTTGCCCTTTTTACTCCGTCTCTCTTTTTTCTTGATTCAGTGGCCTCCAGATCGTTTGGAAGGGACTGAACTCCCTGCGAGGTCGCGTCAACAGGCTTGACGTGGTTACTCACAACGCAATCGTATCTGGGCAGTGATAAGGAGGTGATTGTGTCCTACCAAATTTCTTCTGCTCAGTGCAGCTTGCCAAGGGGCTATATTAGCACGGGTTATGGGGAGGCGAACGTGTTCCTCCCGCAGGAAGAGGCAGGGGCTGAGTTTGGACTCTACAGACTGTGAGAGTGGAGCGTGATGGATTGCACGAACTGAGATTTCAGGTGTTTCAAGGCGACTACACACAGCGACGGAATCTCCAATAATTCTTGAGGCATGACCTATTTTTGTGTTAAACTTTGGGTTTTAGATCTTGTTTTCTTTTTTCTGATATGAGAATTTCTTAGAAAATTTCTTGGATGGCAATTTTGAGTTCTTAGTTGATCTCAATCGGTAGTTCGTAATTATTCTTGTTGATTTCATGATCTGGTTTTAGAATCGTTATGATTTCTCTCATACACAATTGATTGTCGAACTGTTTTTCTGCCTAGTATTTCCTGATTTACTTTCTGAGCAATTCTTTGAACCTTAGGGTTCTGGAAATCAGAGTCCTTTTGGACATCAGAATCAATTGCCTATTTTGTTTCCCTATTTGGATTTTAAAATTTTATCAAATCTTATCTTCATCTCAATTGATTTCCTGAATTCGATGTTAAACAACTTAAATTCATGATTCGAACTTCGTTTGCATGACTCATAAAAAAAATTAAACTCGGTTTCCTAAATTTTGAAATTCGTATTCTGATTTTGTAGATGGAAATCCGGGATTGATGTGGGATTTTTCAAACAGTTTTTACTCAAGTAATTAGTCTTAGCTTGTTGTTTTTAGCAAGGGAGTCTCAACTTGTGATGTTGTGAGATCGGGGTCAGAGGTGTTGGAATGAATATCTCCTTTAGGGTTGGAGTCCCTCGCACCCAGCACGGTGAGAGTTGAGAGGGCTGTTCCGCTTGGAGGGAGTGGGACAGGAAGGAAGGGGGATCTTCTGCTCCGCGGGGGCATACTTTAGGGGGTACTGTATGCGACTGAGGGAGCAAGAGGGGTATTTTGGGGGTTGTTTTGAACTGGGGCGGGGAGGCGAGGGGGCGCCTTCCCGCGGAGGCAGAAAACAAACAGGGGGTTGTCTTTTGGGGGAGAGGAGTAATCCCTTCGGCTCTTGTGACCCCTTTACATGTAACAGAGACCTCAATAGGCTTTCCATGGGGAGAGAGGGTCGTTTTTCCCTCTCTTCCCCTCTCCCTGTGGGAATAATGGGCGCTAGAATGTTCACGTGATTTTTTGGGATTTTTTGTGCCTGATGTTCCTAATTTTTCTTAATTGAAAATTTCTTCCAAGGTTTGGTGCTAGAGGCACGGGGTTGTGGTGGCTGTGACGACAGGAGATGACGCGCTCTGCGGTGAGGGGGCTAGCCTGCAGGGTTTTAATAGGGTACAGCAGCGGTGGAGATGGTGGCTCCATCGTGGTAAGACTTGTCGGAGTAGGGTTTATGGGGTTTGTTGGGGGGATATCTGCAACTAGTGCATGAAGGAGACAAATAATAGGATCTACAACTATGGTGCTGATTGGTGGCTTGACTGCTATTTGCCCTAGTCCTGAGTCCTGGTGGTTTGCGAAAAGACGAGGCCAGAACGACGCTGGTCGGTGTTGGGGCTTGTTGTGTATACGCCCGTACGTATACGGGCCGTACGTACTCCCGTACGACCGTACATACGGGGACCCGGGGGCCCATACGGGCCGTACGTATGGACTTCCGTACGTCCGTACGCGGTCTTGGAGGGGGGGGTCGACCCCGGTTTTCGGGCGGGTGGGTGTCGGGTGTCGTCGAGAGTCCATCTGCACCAAAAAAAAAAAAAAAAAAAAACTTTTTTTTCTTCTGTTGATGTTTTTGCGTGGTTTTGACGTATGCATGC